TTGAAGGGTGGGGCAGCCGTTGCAACTATACTGAGACCTTAGAACTTATATCTCAAGGTGGGTGGCGCATTTACGCTGTAGATGTCTATGGACTCCAGTAACCACTTAACACCAAGTGGGCTGTGAGCTCGTCCACTAATCTAAGCAATAAAAAAATAAGTTTCTCGCCGGATCTTCTCAGTGGGTCGCGATTCCGATCCGGTAGTAGATTCAGGGAAGCACTGCTTTAGCTAGGGCTATTGTTAGCAATTCTCTCAGATTGAGCCCGTGAGCTCACCTACCGGTCCATGCGTTGGAATAGCCCCTTAGTCTACCAATGATTAGGTAGGGAATTTTTAGCTCGTCCCAATATTTACCCCATTTATAAGATTACCTTAAACCACGACTTATATTTCTTTGTTTACTCTAGCTATACGCTAGGTAGCGGCTTGGCTCTGCCCCTGGCATTGCTAAGCTCCATGGGTGACGGTAACCACTCACCATCACGTGGGCCGTATGCTCGTCTGTCTACAAGGGCAATAAAAAAAAAGCTATATGTATACCTGCGTAGTGCGCGAATACTTTTCAACACATCCCATAATATTCCGAAAATTATAACGAAAGCGACTTTAAATAATCTAAGTACAAGTAAATATTTTCACGCGTCTTTCATCTGATTAAAATCGAATTTTCACTGAGTGTCGTGAGCACTTGTGCTGTTTTTGACTTGGTATCATTAACGAAAGATGACGCGCGAAACGTCTTAACATAAATAAAGTTAATAGCCTAACAACGAATCCTTAAAATGTAAGAGATTTCAGGGTTGCGTTTTTCTGTAAAATGCTGTAAAAAATTTGCGTGCTTAAATTGTATTGCAATATTTTTTTCTTTTATAATTAAATTTAATAATTAATTACATTCCCATAACCAAAAGCAATCGTGACTACAATTATCTGTTAAAAAAATTACATAAATAAATCTCAACATTAAAGGCACGTTTTACTGGTGGTAGGATGTCTTGTGAGTTCGGCGCGCGCATCGCGGTACCGTAAGTTTCGTGTAGTCGGTGTGGTGGAGCTCGATGGGGTTTAGTCGGTAGTCGTTCTGCGGGGCAAGTGCTTCGCGCGTCTTTTTCAAGGCGTAGTCTCCTGTGAGAAATTGGGGGAGGTTAAGGACCTCGGCCCTTCTCTTCTCCCCTTCTTCCTCTCAGGAGGCGCCGGAGTCCGACATAACCCGGTCCGTTACCCCCCTCGACCGGGTATCCGGAAATGGATACCCCATCGTTAAAAAAAAAAAAAAAGGATGTCTTGTGAGTCCGCACGGGTAGGTACCACGACCCTGCCAATTTCTGCCGTGAAGCAGTAACGCGTTTCGGTTTGAAGGGTGGGGCAGTCGTTGTGACTGTAAGAACAGAGACCTTAGAACTGATGTCCCGATGAGGGTGGTGGAACTTATATTGTAGATGTCTATGGGCTCCGGTAGCCACTTAACACCTATGGGCCAGGACTTAGTCCTTCAATATAAGCAATTAAAAAAACCATACCAAACTGCAATTGGTTCTGGTATATATAAGTTTATATTCGACAAGAATCTAAATATTAATTTCTTAAAGTCGAGACTCTATAAGTCGAATCTAGGCAGCGGCTTGACTCTGCCCCTGGCATTGCTGAAGTCAATGGGCGACGGTAACCACTCACCATCAGGTGGGCCGTGCGCTCGTCTACCTAATAGGGCAATTAAAATAAAAAAGTGACTTCATGCAAAAAAAAAACTAAAAAACCACACACGTATTTAAGCGATTTCTTCCAAAAGCGCAGAACCGATTATGCTTCTAGTGCTGATAATATTCACAACGTAACGTAATGACGCTAATATCGATAAGCGTTAGCAATTTTATAATCCAACTGCTGTTGTAACGATACAGTCGCGTTCGCTGTCAGACTATGTCCATTTTGCGGTTAAAACGCCTAGACAAACAGCTTAATTGTTCGTTAGTGACATAGTTCCCGAGCCGCCATTGACTGTTGGTATCGAAACAGATAGTTAAATCGTCAGTAGATTTATAGCTCAATATAAACTGTTAATGGCCAGTTTAGTTTAGACACTAAATTTAACTAGTGTACTGCTGGCTCACTTTATAGTTCAGCGGGCTTTGTTTAGAGATGTAATTATGATAAGCTATTAGGGTTTCTTTTTTCATTTCAATTATTAACTTTTTTTTTTTTTATTGCTTAGATGAGTGGACGAGCTCACAGCCCACCTGGTGTTAAGTGGTTACTGGAGCCCATAGACATCTACAACGTAAATACGCCACCCACCTTGAGATATAAGTTTTAAGATCTCAAGTATAGTAACAACGGCTGCCCCACCCTTCAAGGCGAAACGCATTACTGCTTCACGGCAGAAATAGGCAGGGTGGTGGTACTCACCCGCGCGGACTCTCAAGAGGTCCTACCACCAGTAAAAAGGTAAGCTGTATCTAGGGAGTTGTCAATGTATATGATGGTGATAATGAATCGAGAAAACACTTGATTATTTCTTGAGATGGTTAAATTTCACACGACGCTCTCGTTGTGACTCGGAATGGAAGTGTCAATAACATTGGCACTAAATATGTGGTGAGCTCATCTACCCATCATAATTAAATCAAATTTTATATTTGATAAACCGAACCTTAACTATCCATCAAAATGTAAATTAAAAACCATAAAAACAACATGAAAAAATGTCCACGTCAATACAAATCTTGATCACGTACAAGTAGAACAAGAACTCTATTAATTCTTACAGTATAACGACGCGATACTGGCGCACCGCAAGTTTCGGTATACACTGCTCGCTCATAAAGACTTAATATTTCAACGTTGAACACAAAGAGAGCAGTAGTCACGAGCCAAAGTTTTAATTTGCTTAGAGTTGTAACAAGTTGGTACGGGTCCCTGGCGGGCGCCAAATTAGGTACAGTCTGAGCTTAAAGGCGACGTCGCATTGTGAACTGTTTAATGAGCGTTGTAAATTTGAAGAAGAAATCTAAAAGACGAACATTTAAGTATTTTAAAATGCCCATCTCACAATTAATGACATTGTACGGTAGCAATAACAAAAGGTCGAAACGAATTAAAGAGTCACAAGATATTATCGTGAACCCGATATTTTATTCACATATAATAGATACAGACGGTTTTTAATGACGCACCTTTTAATTTAATTATGGCAAAGTAGAAATTTCGGAAACAATTTAGAATCAGGTGTCAATTTAAGAATGCTAAAAACGAATTAGTTTTATGGGTTTTAGTTCGTACTAAGCATACAATATTGAAAACAGTATTAATATTTTGAAACTAAATCATGCTTAGGTCATAATCTTAAAAAAAATCGTTTGATCGGCCCGTATACTACGTACGATTTTATACATCTAGCTCTTGCAACAACTTCCACGTCAGTAGTATTACCATTACCATTTATACTTATTTTCTTACCACTCTAACTAGCAACTACATGAATAATAAATAATAAATAAATAGTAAATATTTACTAACAATCACGCCACGTTAACTGGTCCCGTGCTAAGTTCGTAAAGAACTTATGTTACAGGTACCAGATAACGGAAATAAATGTAAGATTTTTATTATACACATACATATATTTAATATACCTACATCCATAACCCTGGAAAACACATTTATATTTATCTTCCCTTGGCGGGATTCGAACCCGCGACCCCCTTGTGTAGTGACCATGTCACTTACCACTACACCAGACGGCCGTTGATGAATATCAGGAATATAATTAATTCAATACTATGTGTGAAAGACATTCAACAGCTTCTGTGCAGCTCGGTCGGTCATCATTCAAATCTAAGCCATGAGCTCGCTTGTACATCTAAAACTACATTACATAATACACTACATTAAACATGATCTATAAAACTATTTCTTTTTTAAAAACTCTCTCTTTTAAACTCTTTAAAACTATATTAAAATTGGTACACTTTACTCATTATCAAAATTAGTGTACACTGATATTTTGTTCACGACTGTACTGACTGTATCCCATGCACAGAAACAAAAATTATTACAGTTCGACTAAAACAATCGAAAAATGTGTACGAAAAAAGAAAAAGTAATAAAGAACCTTACACACGGTAATGAACCAAAGATAATCCGAAACTACAAATTACCAACTCATAGCGTCTAATCTAACAGAGTCTGCAGGTACAGTCGTCGACAAAAGTAACTTTTGTTATAGTTTAATTCGTTTTGTACTGAAGTTTTCTCTTCGATTTTTGCATGCACTCCGTAATTTAGTTTAAATATAGAGAGAAAGACTTTTTCCCTCTCGAATACGATTGTATATTAAGGAACGGTTGAGTTAATTTATTGCTTCATTGTATGGAACAGTGATTTTTTGTTGCTTTAGTTGTAGTCTATTTTTTATGTGTCTTTGTTTATCTTTAAATCTACCGAAAGTATGTATTTATCCGTTTTCAAAATTACGAAAACGAAAAAAGCCTACGTACATACTCTAAAAGAACATGACAATTTTTAAAACATATTTCTGGACATCAAAACCAAAATGGCGGAAGTGAACGATTTGATTTTGTTTTTTAATCGAACTTTTCTGTATAAATAAAATACAGGCTTGTAAAATGAGCATTCGCGTTTATTCTAATTTTATTATAATTTAATTATAACGTGCCATTCATGGCGCTAAAATGCTGGAACGGAAGAGGGTTGCCAAGAGCAAATCTTAAAATTAGCAACTTAGTTAGGACTTAGGTGTTACCATTACAATATTAGAATAAAATTCTATTGTTCATATTTTGGTTGAACATTTTCTTTTTTGTTATGTACCTATCTGATACAGATCTTATTTCAATACGATACTTTTTAAATAATTGATCAAAAATATTTAATAACAAGATCCGAAATTTATTCTCAGATATTGAAATGTGTTTCTAAAAAACTAATTTTATTAACTTGCTTAAGCAAATGTGGGTATTTAACAAACTATAGACTCACCGTATTTTGACTTCTTTGGATTGCCATTCGCTGTGTTTGTCGAAACTGATGAGTATCGCCGCGATTTCCTGAAACAAAATGAGATAGAAATTAGTATAAGCCTATCTATACATATAAATAAAATTGGAGTGTCTGTTTGTAATATTGAAATAACCACTTTTTACTACATGCATATGAATATATATACGGTACATAAACCAAAATATATTTTTTTTACAATTTTTGTCTGTCTGTCTGTTTGTTCCGGCTAATCTCTGAAAAGGTTGGACTGATTTCGACGAGACTTTCACTGATAGGTAGCTGATGACATAAGGAGTAACTTAGGCTACTTTTTTTAGATTAACTTGGCCCCGCGGCGATATCCCAGTTGCGACAATTACCGCGGGTAACATCACGGGACTCAGCTATTAATAATAAAATTTAAAGTTTCCGAAGCGAAGCGAGGGCGGCTTGCTATTTAAAATATAATTGTGGCATTTAGTTAGTGACAAGAACGCCAACGAACAGTAACTGCCGATCCACCTGTTATTAGTGGCTATCGATCTCCACAAACAGGATAGTGGATTCTTAATTGCATTCCTTAAGGCTTCATCTGGAAAAAAAATTCCTACCTATTCTAGTGACCACGAGGGATCATACTCGATTCACCAAATGAGTAGATAAGCTCACGGGACTTGGTGGCTGGCTTTGAAACGACAAGGCATGATTATCAAATAACACCCTACCATTAACAAATGCAATTGAACTATTAAATACTATTCAGGACTCTGCTGCTCATTCTACATTGCATCCCTAAATCATATTTTGCAACATCGAACAAAACGGCGACAGAAACAAGCAATTTTGGTACCTTTAAGTGCGGCCTTATATTTTTTTTGTTGTTGCTTAGTTGGGTAGACGAGCTCATAGCCCACATGGTGTTAAGTGGTTACTGGAGCCCATAGACATCTACAACGGAAATGCGCCAATCACCTTGAGATATAAGTTCTAAGGTTTCAGTACAGTTACAACGGCTACCCCACCCCTCAAACCGAAACGCATTACTGCTTCACGGCAGGAATAGGCAGGGCGGTAGTACCTACCCGTGCGGACTCACAATACGTCCTACCACCAGTAAAATACGTGCTACCGTCAATAAATATACTAGTAAGTGATCGCAGTACTCTGGCATAATATGCAGTGTACACTGCTGTCCATTATCCGGCGAATGTTGCGGTAATGGGCTTACACTACACATCCAGAAATAGGAGCCAAATAGTCACTGCACCCGATAAGCAGCCGATTCGTGTTGTGACGTCAAATTGTTCGGATATCACGCGCACAACGCCTTTTTGGGGCACAAGTGGTCAGTCAATACGTTACCTATAAACCTTTCAACAAACTTAACGACTACCAATTATACCAAAACTAGCGACCCGCCCTCGCTTCGCTTCGGAAACTGTAATTTATTATTGATTTCTCCACTATTTAATGGATGTTATTATACATATAAACCTTCCTCTTCAATCACTCTATCTATAAAAAAAAACCGCATCAAAATCCGTTGCGTAGTTTTAAAGATTTAAGCATACATAGGGATATAGGGACAGAGAAAGCGACTTTGTTTTATACTATGTAGTGATATATTACCGCTACCAAGTATATCTAGAAACTTTGATCTTTTCAGCATTATTAGACTGAATTGTTCTTTCGCAAGATTATTAAGTTAGAAGCGTTTCGGAACCTAATTTTATTATTATCAGTTGTTTCGCAAGATTATTAAGTTACATAGAAAAGCGGTTTTGAATAATTTAAGCATTCACATTCAAAAAAATATTTAGTATTTTTTAATAGTGCTAGAACCTTTTGTACATGGTGTTTACAAGAATAGGCTAGCCGCCACGAAGAACTAGCTAGGCGACCGGAGGAGCAGCGGCAGCTAGATAAGGAGGTACTGGAATATCCTCGTGGTCAGCCTACAGGAACCAATTTGAGACTTTACTAAAGAGACTGTTGGTAGGACCTCTTGTGAGTTCGCACGGGTATGTACCACCACCCCGCCTATTTCTGCCGTGAAGCAGTAATGCGTTTTAGTTTGAAGGGTGGGGCCGTTGTAACTATACTGAGACCTTAGAACTTATATATCAAGGTGGGTGGCGCATTTACGTTGTAGATGTCTATGGGCTCCAGTAACCACTTAATACCAGGTGGGCTGTGAGCTCGTCCACCAATCAAAATTGCTTGGTTGAAAAATATTAGTCAACTTTGTTTGTTTGGAACATTTTATAATTTTGAATTAAGTACTGATTTGGTAATTTGAATCTTATACCTTTAAACGAGTAGTTCTTGTATATTAATATACATATAATCTGAATCTTGGAAACGGCTCCAACGATTTTCATAAAATTTAGTATACAGGAGATTTCGGGGGCGATAAATCAATCTAGCTACGATTTATTTTCAGAAAATGTTGTTTTATTCATGTTTTCAATAATCAACTTTATCGATAATCAGCTTTATGACTCTTCCCGACATCTATTAGCGTATAATAATCCTATTTTTCTTAATTGAGGGCAACTAACCGCTTTAAAGACACAACAAGATGGCGTTATAAAAAAAAACAAGCAAAGCTCGGTCATTATCTAGTTCCAATAAAAGCGCGGGCTTTACACGGACGTCTTTTGGGCGCGAAACACAATCGTAATAATTCACAGCCCTATAACATCTGATAAGACGCAAAATATATAAAAATAAATCAGTATCTCCTAGCCAAGGGACAGTTTCGAACGAACACAGCTCTCCGAAAAGTAATTTCCCAATTTACTCCGGTCTCTTTTGAATAAATCAAACTCTTTCCGACGGAGATCGCGGTCTGAATAACAAATAATACAACCCTAATGTAAATATTACAATTGTAATTTTTTTATCCCCTGGAAACGTAAAACTGAATGTGGAATTATTAAAGAAGTGGAGTCTCGTGGTGAAAATCAAATGGCCTCCGAGGAATGTTCTCGAAAAAATATTACTTTTTACCAAAAATGTAATTCAGTTTTATTTTTTAAATGAACTACATAATATATATGTACCTATTGAATTCTGTGTTGCTTTTTATGGACAGGAAATTAGTCGCCGCCGCCGTGGCTTAGCCTTAGCTTGCTTCAACAAATGGATTCTCTGATATATGTATGTAGTCATCTAAAATGGTGATCTAATAATATAATAATAATAATAAATAACGAAATTGCCCCTCATAATAACATACCATCAACATAAATTTTCCTCACTAAGTCACTACACGCTGCATTCACTTGGGTTAGGCCCATGGATGTGGTTCATACTAGCCAAAATGCTAAGAAAAGACTACCTTTCCGAAAATAATACTAATAAAATCATTTATTGCATTTCATACTAAATAAAAGAAAATTTAAATGACAGAAAAGAAAAAAGAAAAAGGCAAAAGGAGGTGACTCAGCTAACGCCGTTCAAAGTGGATCAATCGAACAGCGCTGATTTTCAGTCATCCCCATTTCCCTTTGGTTCATTGCGGGATTGAAAACTAGGTACGTGTGTACAGACTTAGAGCGTGGTATAAACTAGTATAAAAATCAGAAAAAAACAAAACAAAAATCAAATTACATTTTGAACCTGAATACAAAACATACATAAGCCAACACACACACAGAGAGAGAGAGAGAGAGAGAGAGAGAGAGAGAGAGAGAGAGAGAGAGAGAGAGAGAGATAGAGAGAGACTATTCTTTATTGTACACCAAAAAACAAATAAACACTGCGATACTTTAAATACAAAAAAAAAGTACATATTAATGTGATCTAATAAAATCATTCAACCACGTCAATTAAGGTCAGGTTTTTTTTTAATGCTTAGATGGGTGGACGAGCTCGCAGCCCACCTGGTGCTAAGTGATTACTGAAGCCCATAGATATCTATAACGTAAATGCCGCCACCTACCTTGAGATATGAATTCTAAGGTCTCAGTATAGTTACAACGGCTGCCCCACCCTCCCAACCGAAACGCATTACTGCTTCACGACAGAAATAGGCAGGGTGGTGATACCTACCCGTGCGGAATCACAAGAGGTCCTACCACCAGTTAAAGTCACGTTAAACCTTTATCTAATGCAACAAATATCTTCGCTTATTATCGAGCCGTTTAAGTCTTCCTCGCACTGTAGATTTATAGGCGTGCACACAAACCGGTTCGGGTCTAGCGTACAAAAGCAGCCCTGATTTAGTTGAGGAAGCGGCGTGACGGAGCCGACTCACGGAAACACACGTCCGACTGGGCCGAAATTGCGACCACTTTTTGTTTGTACAGCTCGGCGTGGATTTTAATTGTGGCGTAGCATCGGGTGTGTTTTTTAGTTTCGATTGATAGGCTATATCGTCGCCCGTCGTTGCCCGAGTGATTGTTGGAGCTAAAGACCTTTTTTTTATTGTATAGCCAAGCGAACAATCTTATGGATCACCTAGTATTAGTTACCGGAGTCGGTGGACAAGATAAAGAATTCGTTTTTTTTTATCAACCATATTTTGTACAATTGTATGATTACTTGTAGACACTACAACGTATCGTCTCCTTTAAATTCTTATTCCTGCCTTTATCTCATTATGTGGGTTCAGCGCAGCATTTCTCTTTTTCCATTTAGGCCATACGTACTATATCACACCGCCCGCCACCGGAGTAGAGTTCATCCATATCACCTGGAGCCATTGCGTTCATCCACAGTGCGCTTCCAGAGATCTTTTTTGCCACGTATCATCCGGCTTTGGAATGAGCTCCTCCACGGTGTTTCCCGAGCGCTATGACATATCTTTCTTCAAACGAGGCTTGTGGAGAGTATTTAACGGTAGGCCACGGCTTGGCTCTGCCCCTAGCATTGCTGAAGTCCTTGGGTGACGGTAACCACTCACTATCAGGTAGCCCATATGCTCGTCTGCCTACACGGGCAATAAAAAAATGGCCATACCATATAAATTTTTTCCATACGTCATCTTTATACTCAGAATTTTGCTACGCATATTCTCTTTCACACGATCCATCCAAGGTCTTTTATTACCCACCCTCCTCAC